CCCGTCTCGCCTCCACCCCCCCCAATTTCCTCCTCCTCGCCCCTCATTTCCACCCTCCTCCCCCTCCCCCGGCCACTTCGCTAACTTGTGGCTGTTGTGATGCGTATTCCCGTAGATCCGAGCACCAGCCGGCGCTTCAGCCCCCCCTCCAGCAGCCTGCAGCCCGGCAAGATGAGCGACGTGAGCCCGGTGGTGGCTGCGCAGCAGCAGCAGCAACAACAGCAGCAACAACAGCAGCAGCAGCAGCAGCAGCAGGAGGCGGCGGCGGCGGCGGCGGCCGCGGTGCCCCGGTTGCGGCCGCCGCACGACAACCGCACCATGGTGGAGATCATCGCTGACCACCCGGCCGAACTCGTCCGCACCGACAGCCCCAACTTCCTGTGCTCCGTGCTGCCCTCGCACTGGCGCTGCAACAAGACCCTGCCAGTGGCCTTCAAGGTAAGAAACTGCGGCCGCCCCCCGCCCCGCCCGCCCCCGGCTCGGCGCCGCGGGACCTGCCCGCAGGCGTCACGGAGCCCGCGGGGGCCCGGGTCCCGACCCGGGAGGCCTCCAAGGCTCCTACCTCGGTGGCTCCGACCTGAGGGACCCCCGTCTGGCCCTCTTCCTCGGGACCCCCCAGCTGGGCTCGCCGCGTTAGTGATCCCGCACAGATCCTTCCCACTCCCACTTGTGCGCGCAGCCACCACCGCCGCCCGTGTCCCCCTCTATCCGTTCATCACCCCTCGAGCCTCCCGGCCAACGTCCCGACCCACTCCTCTGAGCCGATCTCCCCTCCCCCAGGAGTCCCCCGGTGCCCACTCTCGGCGCCGCCGCCGGGACGAGCTCCACCCCGCCCCCCACTCCTCCGGGGCGAGGATACCCGGCGTTCTCCCCTGAGACTCCCGCACCCTGGTCCCCGGCATCCCGGCCGAGCCTGCACCGCGGGCCGCCGCGCCGCCCCTCCTCGGGATTCCGCGAGCTCCTACTCTCTCCTCCTCTCCCACCCGAACGCCCTCCGCGGGTCTCGTCGCCCCCTTCTCTGACCGGCTTGCGCCTCGGCTGTCCCGGCCCTTCCCGGGCTCGGGGGCCGCTGCTAGTGGGGTGCCGGCGCCGGGCGTTCGCGCCCGGGGCGGGGCGCCGGGTGCCGGTTGCTGGCGGCGGCGCTTGGGCCGCATTACGGGTGTCCGAGAGGGTCCGGGCAAACTTTGGGACCCGAGGAGCGAGTGATGGGAAGACGGGACGGGGGCGTCCTCTCAGCCTGCAGACCCGCGCCGATTCCCGCTACGGAGGAAGGCGGGGCCGCCGGGGTCGCCGCGCGCCCGGAGGCGGGGGAGCCCGGGAGACCCGGGAGCCAGACCCTCGAGTGCGAGGCGGCGCGGGCCAGGGGAGGGGGCGGGGGCTCGCCGCGCCGCGAGGCTGAAGGGAAACCTGCGAAATGCCTTCGGCTCGCCCGCCTGGAAAACTGAGGTGACACTGAGATTCGCCTTATTCTTTCTTTTAAGGACTGAGACCCCAAAGGTCCCTCCCGCTTCTGAAAGGTCGTGGGAGGCTCGGGTCAGCGACCTGGGCGCCGAGGCAGTGGCTCCCAGGCTGGAGAGCACCCCCCGCGCGTCCCGCGGCGGCCTCCTCGGTCCGCCTGGCCCGTTAGTTGGAGGGAGGATGTCAGCAGTCCCGAGTCGCGGGCAGCGGCTCGGCAGGTTGAGGGCTTGAGGGTCCGGAGTCTCTCTGTGATGCAATTGGGGTCCCCCCGTCCCCGGCAGCCCTCGCCCCCTCGCAGAGCCCCCAGGGCCGGGAGCGTCCCGGGTTGCAGGAGAGACTGGGTACCCGGCCCTGCCTCCTCAAGGGATTAGGCGCTTGGGATGGAGGGGGTGGTGAGCCAGACGCGGAGGAGAGGGCTCGCAGAAAGATGCTTCCGGTCCAGTCTAGCCTCTGAACCCGCGAAGGTGGGCCTGGGTCCCATGGGTTCTGGCATTGTGGAGAGCAGGGTAAACCAGGCCTTGGGGTGGGGGGGAGGGGGGAGGGAGGAATCCCGCCAGTTCCTCCCTTGTGGACCCTGGGGCCAAACTCCCACGGGCCACTGGCAGTTCCCTGCTGTTGACCACCCCCCTGCCCCACGCACCAATTCAGATTCCGTGTGTGTGTGGGTGGGGTGGAACGAAAGAGGAGTCCAGGTCAATTAGAGCTGGTTATCTCGCTAGGTCTTCTATCAGAGCAGGAATCAGAATGAATTATTATGGAAAGGGGATGTTGCATTCTGGGGCAAGTTTCATTTTGCAGTTGGCTCAAGAAACGTGTGTGTTTTAACCGTCCCATTTCTCCTTTTATAAACCACCCATTTTGAAGGTTAAGCGTTCCTTCCTTGAAATATGGAAAGCTCAGAATATAGGTGAATCGTAGAAATGTGGATTTTCACGTGAGAGATATCTTTTACAATTCATCGTCCAAGGGTCCAGAATTTTCTACTTAGCCTTATGTGAGAGTGGAAATTTGTTTCCACCCACCTCTCCCTCCCCCCCAGATCCCCTCAAAACACAAACAAAAAGCCCTGGACGAAAACTGCAAATAATAAAAATAAGTAGATATTATATATGTAAAATGCCAGAAGTCAGGATATGAAAAAATTAAGGCTCTAGATGTTTGATATTCTGCATTCCGTTAGTTTTGCTAAACATGGTTTTAAGGTATAATGTCTTGAACTCTACTCTTGCATTTATGGTGTTGAATTGATTCTGAGCATTAATACTTTGACTAGAAAGGCTCTTTTTGGCATAAAGATAGAATGCAATTTAGTTTGAGCTGTTCTCAGATGTTTTGGCTATCTTTAGGTTTTCTCACTACCACCCTTTTAAAATTATTTTGAAAATAAATTGCTTTCTCTGTTTTTCATCATACTTATTTTTAATTATAGAGTAATTTTACTTTTAACCAGTAAACAAAACCATAGATAACACATGGCCATATTAAATTGAATGTTTTAATTTGTATTAACTGAAAGATAAATTGAATTAACCTAAAACTTGACTCATGTTTTCCCACCTCCCTAAACTTGTGTTTAACAAAATTCAAATAGTGGCTTACAGCTGACATCCACTCAGTATAGAAGTTTTGTCTCTACTGAAAAAAGATGTGTAGATACTCGGAACATCCAGATTTTGACAGTATTTTTTGTTTGTTTGTTTTCATCTGAATGTTAGTAAAATCAACCTCTTTTTACCTTACTTTCGAGATAAAAGCCTGTGAGCGGTAGACTTTCTAGACTCTTGCAACATAATCAAATACATCTGCAAAGAAGTAATATGAAGAAGTCTCAGTTTTAAAAGTGGTGACAGCAATTTGGCTATCATATTCAGAGCTATGTACAAAGTAAATTATAGTGTTGTTGGGTAGATAGCAGACAGGTAAATATATTTAATATAGAACTTAATTGTTGAGAAGTCTGGTATTCAAATCAATATAATATTTATTGAGCCCATATTTTATGCCTGTGACACTGAGCTCTGCAAAGTAGAAGATCAGAAATGAATTCAGTAAAAGCAGTGCTTCAAAATGATATTGGTAGTGTATTGCATTAAGACATGTCATGTACTGGCGTTGTTCATCTGATCTTGTTTTGGAATTATACGAGAGTACTTAATTCATTTATACGCTGACATGTAAAAGTGCAAAAACAACTTGTATGCTTTAAACTACACCAAGTTGTTTATTAGCGTTATATTTTTAACAAAGTTCTGCAGTTTTGAAATGTTCAGTCCTCCCAGGTGTCAAGGAAATGGAAATAAATATTTTTAACGTTTTTCTCAGGTGTATGTCACTGAAAGCTTAAAATAGTTAAGGCATACTATTAGAGGATCCCAGGCCCTTTCTGTCTTGGGTAGTTGCAGTGATGAGAAAGCGATATGCAAATTAATTGTATTAGTTAATGGTCAGGTAGAAATAGTGGGGAGAACATGTTAGCCCTGTAGTCAGTAGCACCCTTGTAAGTTAGGCGTCTATCAGCATTTTTATCCTGAAGCTTGGTGTTCGGGGTTCGTAACTCAGTTGCTTTAAATAGCTTCAAGCTGAAACACAATGCAGAAATTTTAAGTCCAGATGTGTATTTTAAAGTTAAAAGTAGTGTAAGACTATTGCACTGCTTTAAGTTAGTGGACACTAGTCTGTATATTTACCAGGATCATATGTTTTTCTGGCAGTGTTAAAGAAAGAAAACACATTTTTCTATATATGATATATTGTTCATAGTTAATTCTGCATGTTTAATAATACCTTTCAGTATTTGTCACAAGTAGGGTTTCAAAATGATGGAGCAATTTCTATTTGAAAATAATTTTTTTGACATCATTGGCCATTTTTCTCTTCATAAGCAAGTATGTAGCTAATACCTATTTGACATAATGAGTTGTTTTTTCCTTACATAGTGATCAGATTTTATGTTTGTGTCTTTTTAATGTAATTATACCCAAACAAAGAAAACAGGTTTTTAAGCCTGTTAAAACTTTGCTAAACCTACTCTGAGTTGCTGTGCAAAACTGTGTACATCATAATAGATTTCAAGTTGTTTGAAGACAGGCTTATTTTTATGTTACGGCTTCAGATGCAAGAAAAATTATTTAAAATTAAAAATTTTAGGATTGAGTATATATAAAACTTACTGGTCAGGTAATGGAAACAAATAGTTTTAGATGAAAAAGAAATAAAAAATTTAAAAAACTTGTATTTGAAAACAGGCATGATAAAATGTCATTCATTATTTTCATCCCTTTGGCATTGCTGTTTTTGTCTTTTTAGAATTCCAGAATATCCATTGTTTGATGCTCTAAATCAGCTTGATACATGGCTCGTGAATTTCTGGCTTAAACTGAAATAATTCCCATCAAATTTCTTTTTGACATCTAGTATAAAAATTAAGAAATGCTATTTTATATTGTATTTACTCTTTTCTCTATGGTTCAATCATGTTTTTCTGAATTCTAGGTTGGAGTCTAAAAGTAACTAATATTTGTGAAACTTTGTGATTGTTTATTTAAAGTTGCCTTTAAATATTTGCCATAGGAATAAAATTTTTCCTTTCTGCAATTACTCCCTTACCTTTCTTTTTATTCCAAAGATAGCTTTGGTCAGATTCTATCTTGAAAAATAATTATATTTCAATTTTGCTGCAAGTACAGTGTGTCCAAGTGATATTGGTCTTTAAGAGTAATTGATTAGTGAAGACTTGACTTCTGTCTATGGAAATGTCATAGGCAATTTAAATTTCCATAAAATAAGACCACAAAAACAATTTTAAGGGCCTGAGTTAATTCTCCATTGTTCCTCTTTCAGAGTAGTTCACAGATTTAGTCAGAGGAACCCTCATAAAAATTTTCAATAGCGTTTTTAGAGTTAAATATCCTTTTACTTTATTTTTCACAAGCTCTGTATCATGTGATTTAAATGCTAGTTATCGGTGAGGTGTGCTAAATAAAGGAACTTCTTTCTCTTCTGAAATGTCAGGACACAAAATTACTTCCCTCTTCCCCATGAAGTTTCTTGAATTGGTAGATTTTATGTTTGAAAAGCACCTAGAAAAGTAACTGTTAAAGTTTCATCACAGATTATTCTCTGCAGAACAGAACTTTTGTATTGGGTGGTGTGGAAACAAAATTTTGAGTGCTAAACTAACTAGTTAAAAGGTGATTTTTGATTGCTCTCTACCCCTTAAAATGTTTTCCATTGCTTGGGTTTGGTGCAGATGAAATGTGTAAAAATTTCTTGATTCTTTTGGTTTTCTTTTAGATAAACACAGTTGAGAATCTCCAAGGGAAACTTTTTAGCTTCAGAGATCTACTTTTTTTTTTTTTTTTTTAAACCCTCAAACATATAATTACACTTCTGATTGATATAAAGTCAAATATATTCTTTTTTTTTTTTTTTTAAACCCTCAAACATATAATTACACTTCTGATTGATATAAAGTCAAATATATTCTCTGTATCTCCCTTTTTTTTCCCCTCAGAAAAACATTAGTCAATCTGATTTGGTAGAGTGAATAGCAGAAAAAAACCCCAAAAAACCAGTACATTTAGCTACTAAAATAGAATTCAGCCAAAACAGGAAAAGTTATCACTATATCTTGTTAGTTAGCATTTTTTTTCCAGGCCAAGTTGTAAGCCTCATAGAAGACTCACACAATTTGTGATGACCTATTTGTTTTGTTATTAAATGTGATACATAAAACATACCATTATTTAATATGGCCATTATTATACTGCTTAAGCAAAGAAAAATGGATTTATGTATTTCACTCTTAGGGATCTTTTCTTTCATATTTTCCCATATTGAATTAATTTTCCTTTTCTTCTAACTAAAAAAAAAAAATCCATTATGTTAAAAATATGCAGTAAAATAATAATGTCCCAGAGCTCTAAAAAATCTTTATATTGGGGCAGATTTCTTCACTTTTTTTCCAGAAATTTCGCCAGCCTGGAGTGAAACCCATCAGCTGTCCTATATCTCTCAACAACACCAAAAAACATCTCAGTACATGAAGTAAAGAATTACATATTGAATGGAACCCTTTAAGGGTGCTTATAAGGAAAAGCCTGTGTTTAGCACACAGCCGACTTGGAACAGAAGTTAGCCTGCTCATCTTACTAAAAGCACATCATTATAATTATATTCTATACTTATGGTATATCTTCTACATTTTACAGACTTTAAAAAATTATCTCCATATATTGGAAAACTGTAGTTTCAGGAGATGAAGTTACTTGCAATCATGGCAGAAGGGTAACAGAGGTGGGGGAAGGAGGGGGGCCTCTTGATTTTTGGTGCATTAATTCTCTTCTAAAGAGTACCAACTTTTCTGCCTTCATTAATACACTTACTGGTTCCATATTTACTTTGACATAGAAAGCCACACAGCAGGTGTTAAAACACAATATGCTGAGTGTAAAAAATGTCAAGCATTCAAATGAATACTGGCAAACACAGTCAGTTATTTCAGTATTTTTCAGATGTGCACATTTTTGGCCTTGTGACTTTGAAAATTTGATGAGTACTTTGCCCCCATCAGGGGTACAGCGTTACCTGTGTTCAGTAGCTGCTTGAGGCACTAGATCAAGTATGCAGGAAGGAAGTCATGTTCTCATGGGATTTACCCTTGACCTGGGAGACTTCTCAGATTGAATAGAGTAACCATATATTCCGGGTAAAGGACAGTGGGCATGATTCCCTCTCCTCTGGGATGGAAAAAGTTGTCAGAAAACTAGTTTGGAGCAAGGGCATATTGCCTCTAGCTGGGAGTGCTGACTCAAATTTTAACTGGTTCTTTCACGGACTGTTGGCAGTGGGACGTAATGCTCTTTATGGAGCTCTTTCATTTATTCATTTCAAAAATATTTATCAAACACTTACTCTGTGTCAGGCATGGTTTTGAGAGCTGAGCATAGAGTGGTGAACAAGGCAGATGAAGGCCCTTGCCTCTTGTAATTTCTAGTCTCAAATAATCTGGGCCCCTAGAGAGAATGTCTTAGCTTTGGGCTAGCATATCAAAGGGAGTAAGATGGCCATTCCTATATGAACATTGAAATGAGGATTATTTGAGTACAATGGGATGCTGTAGAAGTGGGTTCTATAATTTGAGGACAGCTTTAAGATTTTAAACCGAATAGCAGAGTACTAAAGGAGGCATAGAACTGAGAAACAGCCTAAAAGAACAGTAAAGGTGAAAAAAATATTGACTTTTTTTTTTTTTTTGCTTTTGTTTGTTGCGTTGTTTCCCTGGCTGGAGCCAAGGGCAGAGTGGAGGGGTGTTGGAGCTGGCTTCCTTGGTGGGGGAAAGGCAGCTCTAAACTATAGTGATCATGTCTGTTTCATCATGCTGTAAGAAATCTGCTTTAATGAGAGTTATGTACAAATTATATTGGGAGCACGGAATTAAATGCTTTGGTTGGCTTTATGGACATCTTGACAAAAGAGGGAGGAACAGAAGGATGAGGGTAATACTTGCCAGACAGGCAGGCACACATGGGTATTGTCATTGGAGGATGGTGGGGTTACTGCAGTTGGAGCCATGGCTTAGTCACCGCAAGGGCATCTGGAAGCCGAATGAGTAAGAGATGGAAATCATCTGAATATTATAGGATCCTGGAAGTTAGCTGCGAGAAAGGATATTATTAAGAGACAGGCCCTTGGTAATAGGTTTAAGAATAGTGTGTTTTATGTATGACAGCAAAGACTTTGCACCGACAGTCCCTTCCGGGCTCCATGTTAATCAGAGGCACCTATTTGCAAATTAGCCGACCCTGATTAAAAGTGTGTTCCCTGGTAGCAGTGAAAATGTTTATTAGCCTCAAAGACTGATTATTCTGGATCCTGAGTTTCCTGAGTTAGTTGGCTGCAGGTTAACTGCTGAAGATTAAGGAGGCAAGTATGTCATTCCTCCTTATGAGGAGGCAGATAGGATGAGACAGAGGTTTGGCTGAAGGTGCATTTTCTGTCTGTGCCACTCGTGTCAGTGATCATTTTCAGCCTGTTACGTGTCTCTACTCCTGTACCTAGACTAAGCTCATGACGGCTTTGTATACTCCACTGGGTCCCACCGCACAGTGGGCATTCTGTCATGCTTTGCAGTGTGAGTGAATGCTGAATATCCAGCTCAGAGTAAGGATATGAAGTGTAGTTCTGGATAAGACACCATATTTAGGTTTCCCTGTAGTCAGGAACTGTAGGGTTCCCCCTAAATATCTTCTCCCATAGAGCGGGCCACACTTCCTTTTTTTGTNGGGGGGGGGGGGGGGGGGGGTGCCCTATGATCTGGCTGAGACCACACCTCAGGGTGCTCCAGGCTGCAGACAGGCGGTGCCTTAATGTGTATGATGCAGTCTGCACATGAGGCATCAGCTTTCCTTCTGTGGCATAATTCCTATGGACAACTTAACATGGGGATTTAATAAAAATGTACATGTATTCTGTGAAGAGTCCAACAACAAATGAAGGAAACTTTTGCATGCCTTTGAAATGGGTGGGCCCTGAAACGTTGGTCTGTTTGAAGTGGCATCCGAACCCGTATGCAGATGCCTCGTTCCTGTCTGCCATTCCTGGTCTGGAGCACTAAGTCTTGATACAGTGCATCCTTTACGATGAGACTGTATTCTCAGTTCTTCAGCTTTTCTGATATGCCATTATTGCTGCTGTCTTTCCTGTTTTATGTAGGTGGTTGCCCTCGGAGAGGTACCAGATGGGACTGTGGTTACTGTCATGGCGGGTAACGATGAAAATTATTCTGCTGAGCTCCGAAATGCCTCTGCTGTTATGAAAAACCAAGTGGCAAGATTCAACGATCTGAGATTTGTCGGCCGGAGTGGAAGAGGTAGGTCTCTGATTTTTCATATGGATAGTGGAATAAACACGTTAGGATCCTCTGATGAAATGTAGGCTAAGTCTGTATACAAATCAGCACCTTCTACTGAATAGAATTACTGAAAGTTTTCTTTAAATACGTCCAGATGAGGTTGAGTGTTTTAGTGAGTACTCAGGCCTTTTTCATTTGTTTTATGATATTGAAAATTCAAACAATGTTTTCAGAAGGCCCAGTTCCTAATTTCACTGGGTGTGAGCATATGAAGTGGAAGGAAGAACAGTTGGAGGTTCAAGTTCTGAGTTATGAGGAGCCAAATAACTGCGTACATTCAGTGGCAAAGGGCAAAGGAAAGGGGGTGCATTGGATCAATTTCCTGGTAATATCAATTTTGCTCTAAGTTGTAGCAAGGACAGCTAGCATAATGCTCTTCACTTGTCACATATGTTACCTCTGTAGGATTTAATTTACTCCTATAGGAACTTATTTAAAAATCATAGGCTTTTATAGAAGGCTTTTCATTTGAATAAGTGAATAATGTATTACTTATGTTAGAATGACTATGTGGAATTGCCTAGACAGATGAATGATCGGGACTCTAAATATTTCCACATTATTTAAGAGTTTCCACCATCCATACCTCCCATTCAAATATTAGGAATCCTTAAAAAGATCATAAAAGGGAAAATAATCCCTTTTAGGGTTTTTGTAGCTGTTTCATAAATGCGGTTAATATTTTTTTAAAAAGGTCTCAAAGAAAACCAGATTTTGGCTTTTATTTACTTATTCTGTGGCAAGACTTTTAATCATCATTCATTAGAAGTATTATGTTCATTTACTGATTGATTGAATCTGACATTTCCATTTTAAGTATTTTGATGAGAAGAGGGAAAATAGACCACTTTAGGACTGCAGTGAAATAAATTATAAATAAATTATAAAGACCTGTGGAATGACTTCAACCTAGGTTTGTGTTAGGAAATGAGAAGCATCAATTTTTAAACCATGTCCAATAATTGCCCTTTAGTTTGGATCAGATGTCAAATTATTACCATTGTAAAAACTTGATAAGGGAAATTCATACAAGACTGTTTCCGGTGAGTAGTTTTAGTTTACTTTCTAGGAACAGGGCCAAGAAGTTGTACTTTTTAACTTTAAAAAAAAAATGATGCATGCTAATGAGATACTGTCACTGAAGGTTTGAAATAAAATGAGAGCTTCTGGTAGAATCAAAACTCAAGGGGTTATCTCTGCATCAGGTTTAGTTCACTTTCATTAAAAGGAAAAAAAGATACATCTTATCTCACTCTTGACTGATTAGGTGTAAAGTGTGTATGTGTGTGTATTCATTTTTCCCCTCCGTTACTGTGCAGGCCCACTGTACAATTCAAATTTCTTTTTTTCTAGTAAGAATCAAGAGAAATTTGAACATGATGATTTACTTGTATCTTCTGAAGGGCATCTTTCTTCTCATGTAATATTACTTTGTTGAATTTTAGTATTTAGAAGACAGGCGCTATACATCATTTTACAGATACAAACTAGAGTTTTCATTTATCTTGCCTTTGTATGATACAGATGCTGCATAACTTTTCTCTGATCAGTTTGAGAAGAAACTATGGCAAAGTGATAGTGTGCTTTGTAAACCTTCAACATATTTATTTAAGAAACTTCAAAGAGAAACAAAGGGTGTGCACTGTTTTACTATATTGGCTTTCTGAGTTTTGGCTGGTTTCCCAAATAGCAATTTTTATATTTAAAAAAAAAAAAGACAGACTTAACTGCTTGCAGACTTTTCACGCATGGAAGATGAAGAAAGCTTCTTTTGATGAAGTGTAATTATGTCCAAACAGAGCTGACCCCCTCCCCCTATATTTCTTATGATCTTAACTGAAGAAAGTAGGATTTTTCCTTTGAAGCAGCCGGGACTTGGTGGAGGATCTGAAATGCCACAGTCTGCTGCCAGAGGCAGGATGGAGAAATTGGTCCAGACTTGTCTTCGAGACTTAGATTGGGGGTGGGGGGAGCGAGTGGAGAGAGAAAGAAAAATTGATGTATCACTAATAATAGATTTTTAAATCAGGGCATTAATATTATATGAAAGGAAACAGTAATATCAAGCTGAAATGAAGAGGGAAAAAGGACAGAGAATACTGATGAGATACTACCCTTTTGAAAAAAAAAATGGGTCAGTTCTTCAGTGGCAGGAAACCCTTTAACCTGCCTGTGTACCTGACCTGCTTTCTAACAGCCCCTTTCCAGCTTCCTCTTTGATTTTCACACTTCTATATTTCTCTCAAGTTTTTAAGTCTGGGTCAACAAGATGCTGCCATTGTATTTGCTGCCCAGCTATTTACATTTTCTATTTTCAGTAGCATTAAAAAATGAAAAAACAGCAAGTTCCTCAAATGCTACATTTTTTCATGGGTAGAAAGATACACTCTCAGGAATTAAAAAAACAGTTTTCAATTTATAAAGCAGTCACGTTGCTACTTACTCTGGCATTATGGGTTATCCGAGGACCACAGCTTTTGGAAGTGTTTTGGAATACGAGTAGAGCATTGGTGAAACTTGGATTCAGTGGAGAGTGGCTTACATTTTTCAATTGTCTTTTCTCTTTTTCTCCTTTATATTTCAAGCAAAGTATTGAAAGTGACTCTGGTCTTTAAATTTTCTTGGTGTGCTTCCTCACTTTTGACATGAAGCGAGTTGCTTTTAATTTACAAGCACTTCTACACACCTGTAGTGTGTAGAGCATGGTACTTTGTCAATTCCGGATACAATCTGTGCCTATGGTCTTAACTTTCCCCACTATTTCTGACAGCCCCTCGGGCCAGGTTGGAACTGTCTTTCAATGACAGGTCCTATGTGTATCTCAGAAAATATATGACTTGAGGACATATTGCAGAACTAGTTCCTAGATGAAGCTAAGGATGCTGCAGTTAGTTGTCTAATGAGTGCTAGCTCCCTAAGTAAGAGCCTGCATTTTTTTTATCACTTATGGAGAGTAGTAAACAATGGGATTTGGAAAATTTTTTTAAATTTAAGGGAGTAAGTCATGAATACTCATATAAACATTTGACTTCAGAAATGTATCACTGTTTATAGGGACAAGAGCAAATGACCTAGTTGGGTGATAGTTTCTGGAACCATTAGGTTCATATTGCTTCTGAAGGGGCAGTGAGAAGTGGGAGGAACCTCCTTGGCTTTTGTTTTAGTTGTTAAAGTACATCTTGATTCTTAGGATTTGATTTTAGAAGACTTCAGTCACACTTTCATATTGGTTTCCTTTCTCTCAGACCCAACTCTTTAAAATGAAGTCTTTATAGAAAATCAGTTCTGTTGTGAATATTGGATGGTGAATTTTATATTTCACCTTCCTTTGTTCCTGTGTGAGGTGTTTCTATGAATTGTGGAGAAGCATCAATGCATTTTAATATCCAGAGTACATTGTGAAAGTCTCAAACAGCAATATTCTCAGAAATGGTTTAGGTAGATTCATTGGCACTGTCTCTTGTGGTTATTAAGAATCATTAAGGACAATTGAGATGTGTACATCCTTGATTTATGAAGATTCATGCCATGGATGACAACTGTCTTCTAAGCACCACTCTTGAAGCACTGTTAGAAACACAGTCCTGGCTCATAAGCCATTGATCCAACCCAGAATGGATCTTTTTTTTTTGTTTTTTAATGGCTTAATGCAAATTGAGTTTCAATCTAGGAGTTCAGACTGTTCACTCCTCCAGATCTTCCCATTGTTTTAAGGTCCTAATCTGGATCCAGTGGCTTCCTAACTCAACTTTCTAATCTCCATTTCTGTAGACTTTCAGTTTTCTGTGAGTAGTTCAGACTCCTGGCTGCCTTATTCTTCTGGTTAGTCTTAACGTTTATAATAAATCCTCTGTTCCCTAACCAGATAATTAAATTTCTTAAATCCATGTAACATTCAATATATCATGGATGAAATACAGAATATCAGTGACACTTTAAAGATAGATGATTTCATCATTCTGGCTGACATACTTCATTAGTAGATTTCTATTTGTTTCTTGGTCTGATAGAGCTGTTTGGGACACATGTAGCAATAAATTACCTATTAGTGTCTAAAAATGTTCTCTAACAAAGTCGAAAAGAAGAGCATTAATTTTAGGGTCTGGAAGACTTGGTTTCAGATCCTGATTTTTTTCCACTTATTAGTTGTGTGGTTAAATTAGTAAGATTCTCTGAGCTTCAGTTTCCTTATTTGTGAAATGAGGGTGATAAACCTGAGTGGGTAGGATTAAATGAGATAATGTGTATGACGTGACTGGTACTTCAGAGGTTTCTAATCAATATTCACTTTCCTCACATTTCCCTCCCCCTGCCTTTCTCTCTTTCCTTCCCCCACTCCACCTTCTTGGCCACAGGGTAGCCAAAGAGACTTAAAACTATATATGCCTAGTAACAAATGATATGTGTCTTAAACATATTTTAGGAACTTACATGGTCTGGGTTGAAAAGAAAACCCATTCACTAGACTTGACAGCCAAAGACCTGTTCTACATTAAGCCTCCTCTACAAAAGGAGGTATGTTAGGGAAGGGGTGGGCAGGGAGGAGAGAAACTTTGTTCCAGTAATGATGAAATCATCATACCACAGGCACATTAAGGCCAGGACGGGAGACACTGGCTCCTGTTAAAATGATTCCCATAAGAATCTTACTCTTTCATCTTCTCATTGTAGTGCAGTTAAGCAAATGAAATGCTAAAGCCATGTGAAGTCAATAGCATAATCAACAGTGATTTAGTATTGTTCTCTCACGGGGTCATGACCTAATCCTAAATAAAGACTTCTAAAATTGTCTGCTTGGATGTGTTCCTGATGTTGTAGAAAAACTGAAAGCAGAGAGAACCCTCTTCAAGTGGTCCAGAGTTTTTGTTTCTATTAGAGCTCTTGCTACTGAGTAACTCTTTTTTGAAGTTGGAGCCTCCTTGTCCAAGACTGCCATGAAGATGAGGACTTTTGTGCTCATGATCTTAGTGACTCCCTAAAATGGCCATCAGAGGGTTTCTCATTAGAATAAGGAGTCTTGACCCTTGTTCATGTTTGGTTACTTCTTCAAAGATGCTTAAATGCAATGTAGACATTCAGTTCAGTTCAGTCGCTCAGTTGTGTCCGACTCTTTGCGACCCTATGAAGACATTAGCACTGCCATCTTATCATCAATACTGTCTTTTTATATTCACTGTGGATTTTCCTTTTTCTATCTGCAGGCAAGAGTTTCACCTTGACCATAACCGTCTTCACAAATCCTCCCCAAGTAGCCACGTATCACAGAGCTATTAAAGTCACAGTGGATGGACCCCGGGAACCCAGAAGTAAGTGCTTGCCTTCCTATTGGAAATGGGAATAGAGTTTGTGGAGACCCTGTGAGGAATTTATCCAAGATAAGTTAGTGCTACTTTCACGTGAAGAGTTTCTTTGCCAAGTTTGCTATCTGAATGTATTTTTACGAGGGGCAATTAGATCTTCACAGTTAGTGGAAAATCAAATTACACTTTTCACCTTTGCCTCAAAATTGCTAAGCCCAACATAACTTTGTGAATTTCCGTTACTCTAAGTTTTTTTGCTAAAAAATTCTGCTCATCCACTGGACACAATAGATGAGGCAGAACAGCCCCACGAGAGCTGAGGAAGAAAACAATAAACTGAAAAGTCCTGAGCTTAGTCAAAAAGCTTTTGCGTGTGTTTCCCATGGTCTAAGAATGTGTTTTAACTTTTTAACTCGCCCACTCAATTCCCTTTATAGAGAGCACACTGCTTAATTACAAAGAATTTATTTGCAAATGATAACTTGCTTGATTGTTACAACACTGTTGTTTGCTCATGTTCTAGTAATTGCCATAGGTAGTTTCTTTAGCAGATAGAGTCAAGCCAGATTTAAATCCACCTTGGTTTATTTGTCTCCTGGGACATCTGGAAGGTTGAACTAGCATCATTTGAAGGCCGTGCCCATCATCCATTTGGGCTAATATCATTTTCCTCTTAAATCTAAATTAAAACAAGTTTACTCCCCCCTCCGCCCCTAAAACTGATTTGAACATACTTACCAGAGCCTAATTTAAATATGTTTAAGGATTAAAGATTATTTAATATATACAACCTTAAAAATTCCGTGCCAATGGAAACATCATACAGAACTCTGCCTTTGATGAGTGAATCCATTGGAGATGTAGCCTTTGTGTTTTGAGAGTTTAATTTGGCTTGTGGTGGAGGGACAGCTGGCAGAAATCTTTGTTATATAATGATACACCTGCCAAGACAATGGCATAGCTCTTCTGCCCCTAAAATTGAGAGCAAAGGGCTGGTGAAGTTTTGCCTCCCCTCTGCCCCTGGGGCCGCTTGTCCTTGAGCGATGGGAAGATGTATTACCTTCCGCTCCTCTCGCCACTGTCTCTTCTCACGAAGGCTGACTGCTTGCCCAAACTAGGGAGGTTTCCTGCCTGAAAAGTCAGTCTTTGAGGTTTTTCTTTTCTCCTCCTTTCATGTGTATGCCGTTCTTCTAGGTTTCCCAACACTGGGAGCGCTGGCTCTGTCCGCTCAGGTTAAGAGTGTCCTGTTAGGCGGTGGCCACACACAAGTCTCTGGTTGCCCCGTCTCTGGTGCTCAGGGCCAGCGATCATGCAGTGCAGGTGAATGGATCAGCATAGGGCTCTCTGGCCTGATTTCGGATTTTTGCCTGACTTTTCTGGACTGCTGTCCATCTGGAATGATGGCTTAAGATGGAAGACATCTAGCATTTTATCTGATTAGCCCCCTAGTTCCTGAAAAGGCAGGGGCATCCCTCTTAATAATGTACCAAGCAGGATGGTAGTCTTTTCACGTTTAACACGACTAATACTTATCTCATAAAGATGTTTCCTGCTGATCTCAGCTGCTTTTCTCAGTTCTTGGAAAAACCATCATTGTGTGTGTGTGTGTATGTGTCTCTGTCTCTGTGTATATCTCCAGATGCTCACACGTTGATGCTCAGACATGATGGTTGGGAGAGGAAGCCGGGGAAGGCGAGTGCTGCCTCATTCTGAAAGTCGTGACAGAAGAAGGAGGTAGAATAGCTTTGGGAGAGTCACTTCTCTTTCAAGCAAGGGTAGTATCACCTCATTCCCAGGAGGCCGTTGGCAGAATTAACAGTTGCTAGGCCCAGTCCCTGTGAAGACAGAGAAGTGCTCTGAAAGCAGTGAGAGTTAGGGATAGAGCAGACAGTACGCATGTGACCTGGGTTTAGGCTTGATGCTGCTGAAGGTGCTGGGGAGAAGCAGATATAGAAATCGAGCGGTGGACCACTGCCCTAGATCTGCTCACAAACCAAAAATATCTGTGGGAGTGTGATGTCATTTCTCTGACATCACAGGGTGACTGGCCAAACTCAGTGTCTGGCTGTGTCTGGTATCAGTAACATTTTAATCCTACAACCTGTATTCTCAGCACGGGGTTATTTCCTTCTGCTCTGCTCTTGGCCTTCTGAGCATTGAATGTTGTAAGTAAAACCCTCTTCTCAATATTGTTCTTTAGTTTTGAGACTCCCAGGTGTGGAAAAAGCCCAGGATTTTCAATTTCCTTCAACTGTGAGTTGAAGGCTTTTAATTGATAGGTGTGTATATAATGTTAAATGAAGAATCCTCTAGAACATGGGTTGGCAGACTTTTTTTTGTAACATGCCAGGTAGGAAATGATTTCAACTCTCTGGGTCAAATGATATCTGCCACAGGGACTAAACTCTACCAGTGGAGCTCAAAAGCAGCCTTCACCAATACATAAACAAAGGGTAGTGGCTGCATATCAATAAAGCTTTATTTACAAAAATAGATGGAGAGGGGGTCAGATTTGGCACACAAGTTGTGGTTTGCCGACCACTGTTCTAGACTTCTTCAAAGTGGCTCATTGTCTCAACCATTAACAGAGAAGAGTTTAGGAAAAGGCTTTCCTGAAGGGAGAAAAAAAAAAGACAGTGAATGCAGTTGTTTTAGAATCGTCTCCAACAAAATTTTAATTCTGTAAGTAATGGTTGTCATTGAAAGAGTGTACATCTGTTTATTACTGCAAAAGTTTGAAGGGATTGAGTATTGTACTCTCTTGATACCTGTTAATGGAATTTCACTCCTTCTTCAGAAGATCACAGTATAATTGGAAAAGGCTACTTCCGGCAGATGAGCTGTTTGAACAAGGACAGGTTCCGGGTTAACTGGTTGGGTCTTTACTCAGCAACAGGACAGTGATTAAGGGTGTGGGCTTTTGTATCAGGCTGTCTGGATTGAAAGCCCAGGACACCACCGTTCACCAGTTGTGTGGTGGTAGGCAAGTTACCTAAGTTCTCTTGGCCTCAGTTAAAGTGAGAAAAATAATTAATAATATAGTGAGAAGACTAATAATAGTATCTTCCTCATCCGTTGCTGCAAAGATGGTAAGTGAGGTCATGTATCTAAAATGCACAGCCCAGGGACTGTCGGGTAGTAAGTGCTCAGTAAGCATGAGCTGTTATTACATCAGTTTCAGCGTCAGAAGTTTGCTGTAGTTTTTGCTTAGAGTACACTTCCAGGAAATAGATACCATCTAGCTTCTGTTCTCTCGGGTAATATTTTTTTCTTTTCTTGCAGATGGCTTTACTAATTTCTGCTCATTAGTAAATGACACTAATAAGTATTATAAATTGTGCCGGAGCAGGTATTCATGCTGCCTGGGGACAGCTGGGCAGAACTGATGATGAACAGTTTGTTCACAGCAAAGTCCAAGAGAGGATGCTAGGGCACTGATGCCGTCCTCGGAGGCCCCACTTATCAGCCCATCTGCCAAGGCTTGCTTTTCAATCAAAAAATCAGAAAGGTTTCATCCTTCTATGTTTTCTGTCTCTGGCAGCTGAACGGGTACTGTCACATCACAAACAACTCCTTCTCTTAATATACACATCTGGCGCTGGCAGTTGGACGAACTTCATAAGAGCACATGATCATCACTCATTACAAGATTAAAAAGTACCCCATGGCATCATTGATGTTTTTTAACTTTGATCTTCTGCAGTTGTGATTCATCTCAGTTATAAAACTTCCCTTTAAAGGAACACAGCCGATGACTTATTAGAACCTTCATCTTAAGTAGCATAAACATGAGAATGGTACACATCTTTACGAAATGTCATTTATTTTCTCTGCCAGCTTATCAGTTTAAGACATGACATCATACTTAAGATCCCAAATTTGTCAGCCTTATGTTTAGGCAAGGCATGTTGACCTTCTGTTGGCAAGTTAGCTCTGAAGAGGTACTGCCGTATGTTCGCCAGCAGAAGTCAGTGGAGCAGCAGCAGCTACAGTAATGCATTTGGATGCCTAACTCTTTCAAACATCAGTTTCTATTAGGATCTTTTGTTTCACGTATGCAGTCGGTTCCAACTGCAGTCCTGTTGAAAGAACTTCTCCAGTAAGATGAAATCTTGCTCAGCGGTGTCATATTCTACTGTTGTGGTTCTGAGTTAAGGAGGGAGACTGATGGAAGGGTATTATTGGCTGTGCAGAGGATGGAAAAAGTAAATCACCTTACACAGTCAGAAGCCTTTTTATTCTTTTGCTGCTCTGTCAGTTATCTATTGCTAAATAACAAACCATCCCCAAACACAGTGGCTTAAAATAGCAACCAGGGAATTCCCTGGTGGTTCAGTGGTTAGCACTCCATGCCTCTACTGCAGGAAGCCCAGGTTTGATCCCTGGTCAAGGAACTAAGATCCCCAAAGCTTCCTGGTACAGAATAAAGTAAAAAAAATAATAAAAAAAAAAAAGACCAAAAACAAAAGAGAAAGAAACAGCCACCAGTTTATTATTTCTCACAACTCTGTGAGTTGACTGGGGTTCATCTGGATGGGTTTTCTATGGTCTTTCTTGCAGTAAGATGGCAGCTGATGCTGGAACATGCATGATGGTCTCAGTCCCTTGCCTGATGCCTTCATGGGGTGACTGGAAGGTTGGGCTCGGCAGGAAGGAGGCGACAGCTGGTTCCAGAGCCTCACCCTCTCCAAGTGACCTTTTCTAGCGGAGCCTGACTTCCTATGTGGCAGCTCAGGTTTCCCTTGGGTGCAAAAGTGGGAACTTTCAGGCCTTTGTAAGGCTTCTGAAGGCTCAGAATTGGAGTAGAGTCACTTCTTACATATTCTATTGGTTAAAACAAGGTACAGGTGCAGCCTGACCTTGAGGGGAAAAATCTTACAAAGATGAATGATGGGGATGGTGGTTCACTGGACCACCAATGTCACCTACTTCTCCGTAAGTGCTTATATCGGAAATGTCATTGCTGCCACAGGAGAAATAATTTTTTGAGGTACCATTTCCTGAAA